TCTCTCTCTCTCTCTCTCTCTCTCTCTCTCTCTCTCTCTCTCTCTCTTTCTTTCTTTTTTTAAAATAAAGCCCATCCTACCCAAGGAGTGAGTAGCACTTATAGCAAGGAAATATAGTTATCTTTAAAGTTCCAGCTCTCCTCTTCCAGAATGTCAATGACAAATGGGAGAAGGAAAAGAGAGATTATAGAAGACGATTATAGACTCTAATATTGACACAGACCATAGGACACAAGCCTTGCTTCCCACCCAGTACTGTAAATATAAATTATTAAAACAGAACATTATTCTGGCTCACACATTTTCAATCAAAGTCCTGTTCCCAGAAAAAGCCCTTCCATCACTTAATGGCATTGAGTGAAAAGGAAGACAGGGACAGAGGCAAGAAAGGGGAGAAAGGGGGGGGACCTTTTTTTTAAAACTTACTTTGCCTTTCCTTATGATGCATCCCCTCTTGCGCCCCTCTGAGCTTTCTTCTCCCATCTAAGCTGCCTGACTCTGGCCAACAGCCCTCAGCCATGGGAAAATATGAATGTGCCCCTTTATCATCTCTAACAAATCAACCTTCAGTTCCTTGTGGTGAAATCGGGTGGTCAAGCTGAAGGACGCTTCCGGTTCTCGGAGGAGGTATGGCTTTGCTTCCCTCTCTCATCCCACCCTCTTACTGGGATGCACGTCTCAGCCACGTCACTGGTGGCACGGAGGGAGAGTGTCACGTGGTCCCAGAGAGGATGTGTGCTGAGCACTGTCAGTCTTCACCCAGGCGAAGTTCCAAGGGTTAGGCCACGATTCCTAACAACCCAAGTTCTTCCCACAGTCCACTCCAGTCCGGAATCCAAGGGGAACATTTGGTGGCCTCCAGAGGAGGTGAAATATAGTGACACAGAGCAATGGGTTCTGGTGTCACGTGGGCCTAGGTATGACTCTCAGCTCTACCGCTTCCAAACCACACGGTTGGATAGATTATGGATGGGCCTCTTCCTCAGATTGACAATGTATAAGGGAGGAATAATAAGCATGGTTGCTCTAGGGTTGTGTGTTCGGAACGTGAAGCATTTAACTCACTGCTGGGTGTAATGAAAAAAATGCTAGCATGCTTGTATAAAAATGGCTGCCACTCACTAAGCAAGGACAGCTAAAAAGGAAAAGAACAACTCTGCTTTCTTTTCTCCATGCTCTCCACTCCTGCAACTGCCCTTTCCTAAACAAGCATGGACACCTGGCAGGGTTGTTCTTTGCCGTATGTGTGTGGATTACCAGACCCAGCCTAGCCAGTAAATCCCATGCAGGTCCAATGTGAGCAAGCCAGAGGGACTCTCTTCTGGCTCACCCAGTATTCTATAGCAACACCATGCCACATGACAGCCTGCTCTTTAAACATTGCAGCTGGCTTCCGCAGAACTATTCCGAAAGTCCATTCTGTGCCCTCTCCATCCTGCCTCATCCCATCCTTCTCTGTGGATTATCCTCAGTTCCGTCTCAGGTGTGAGCTTCGGCCTCTGTCTTCTCCTGTGGAAAAGTGACATCAACATCAGGTCACCGTAATGGCTGTCCTCTTTCATGCTGCCTCATCCGCTAACTCACACACCCAGCCTTGTTCCTCTGTGACCACTCTGAGGTGGACTGTGTTCTTGGCACAGGTCATTTCCAAGATGTGTGCCCCCCCCCCCCCCCCCCCCCCCGCTCCCCACCTTCATCACCATTGAAGGGGTGCAAAGGGACAAAGTTGGCAGCTGCTCCTCCCAACTGGGTCAGACTCTTCCAGGGTCAGAAGCAGAAGGTATGTGCCTGCAGCATGTATACACGGGGCACATTTTGTCAGCCTCTGGGTGGCCTTCAGGCTGTGTGCCCATAATGAGGTTGGCCATCGTGGCAGAGAGCCAACCTCTGGTTTAACACCCTGTGTTCCTTCTCTGTCTTCCTTCCCTGGAACTCCCTTTAGAGCCCCGAAATGCCTTCCCTTCTGTCTCAGAGTGGCTCCCCGGAATACTGATAGGAGAGTCTCAAGGCTTGATTTCCTTCCCTTCTGCCAAGCCTGTCTGCCCTTTGTTTAAGGTCTGAAATGAAATGAAAGAAGAAGGTCATTCTGTTTGCCCAACAGCCAAATCCAACTAGGAACTAGAACATACAGTGTTTTCTGACTCCTTGGAGAAAACGTTATTGTCTAATTGCTCCGTGGATGTGACTAGCCCTCTTCCCAAGAAGTCAGACATTTTGAAGTAGGATAAATAATTATTGCCACTGCTTACGTTTTAATGGATTCCAAAGTACATTTGGATCCGGTTGTCTCGGTTCATCATTACACAGGGCTAGTTTAAACTCCGTCATGTAGAACAGCACCACACTGATACCTCCACAGATGTATTCAGCCTGCAAGACGTGGTCAGACCTGCACCAGACGCCACTTTGACCAGAAGCTCCATCTGCACCTGTTGACCTCCACGGGAATCTCATTTGTGCTGGTGCTGTGGACGAAACGGCAACATTCGGCCCCCAGTAGTTACATTCTTGTTTTTAAGTTGAGTCAGAACGGATTTGCTGTCAAACTCGTTTCTCAAAGAGCACTCCCGTCACTCCACAATTGAGGTCTGGGACTGGGAGAGCAGAAACGTGTCTTGCTCTCTTTCCAGGCTGGCCAGACAAGCCTCAGTCAGGGTCAAGGCCGACCTGGGACTTGAGGCCCTTCTCTTGGAGGCTTGAGGGAGAACAAGATGGAGCTACAGAGGATTTGAAACTTAGACTCCCATCTGACGTCCCTTGAGGATTCCTTTGTGCCAGGTGCTTCACACCGATGTTGCCATGTGCTTATTGTAACATACAAAGTATAGGGAAACCCCATTTGACAGCTGAGGCGTCAGAGTTTCGGAGAAGTTAGTGTGTGTTCAGGGCCACTCAGCTCCACAGGCTGGAGCTGATGCACACATACAGGTCGAGGACAGCAAAGCCTAGACAGCTGCCCTCTGCAGCGCGCTTTGTGTATCCTTCCTGCTCTGCAGGCGTTCTCTCAGGACAGGCTTTCCCAAACCTGGCCAGCACCACCCAGGACACCTCACTGTGGAGCTGCCCTCTTCCTGTAGACTTTGTCGGGGACCTGGGACTTCCCAGTCTCTCCACTTTCCTTAGGGAATGCAGGCTGAGTCTGAGACACACACACACACACACACACCGCCCGGCCTCTCTCTTCTGCTCTTCTGCCATCCCTCCATCCTGACATTTACATTTGGGATGGACCGGCTTCCCCAGGCCCCTCACTCACTCCCCACAGTTTACCAAGTGCTTTGCTTGGCTCTCTGACCCACCTGCTTCCTTTGGTAAATGTGTGCAGACTCCTGCTTTGCCTTCCTGGCAGACTTTCCCGTTTGGACCATGGTCAGGCAACAGGGCAGTGGAGGCGAGGTATATTTTAAGAACAACCTGAGACATGGACTGTTAGCTTATTTGAGTTAACATTTGAGTCCATTAGGGACAGGAACAAGTGGGGATGTTTTCTGCTAAAGCATCGAGGCTGTCGCCAGTCACAGCAGGCGGCCAGGGCTTCCAGACACAGCTCCAGGACAGCAAGCCCCTCCAGCCTCCAGCTCTGCCTCCTGCAGAATGTGCTGTGACCCACACGAGGCCCAAGACTGGTGGAAAACACTTTTTTAACTCTCCATCTCTGTCTGAAAAGAATAGCTACATGGGGGCTCTAACCCACTCCTCCCCAAAGTCTTATCCCTTAGTGCCCACGCCATTACCTCCTCTTTACAATGGTTCCTGTCCTAATAGTCAACCCTTTCTGGCTTCTTCATACCCAGTTCCTGTCTCCTGTCACCTTGGATCCCCATCCCCATCTCAGAATGAGGCTTATTGGTATTCAGTAGCCCAGGCTAGCCTCAAACTTGCATCAGTTCACCTGCCCAACAGCCCTCCTGAGTGCTGGGGAATTAGAGGCATAAGTCACCATGCCCAGGAAGAAATCTCCTCTTCCTCTATTCCAGGGGTCAGAAGCCATAAAAGTTAGCAAGTGACACCAGCCTCATGTGTGGCAGTATGTGTGTGTGTGTGTGTGGTGGTGGTGGTGGTGGTGGGGTGGGGGTCTCATGCCCACCCCTGACCCTCAGGCTATTCCTCTGAAGGAGTGCAAATGTTGGAGACACCCCATAATCCAAACCTGGCCTTCGTGTAATGTGGCATTTCCTGCTTTTTGAATGAGAATTGGAATTATTGGAAATCACACAATGTGGATTGAATAAAATGGTCTCAATTCTGTTTATTTGCCTCCCCTTCTCTCTCTCCCTCTCATTCTTCCGTCCAAGCATCTTCCTGCCTCCCCAGCTTTACCCCTTTATCCTCACATGTCACTGAGAGACCTAACCCCAGCCTGCACCCCATTAGACATGGTTAGTTGTCTCTGTGTGGGTGCTTTATAGCTCAGATACAAAACTCAGCGTGTCAATCACTCAGATTTGGCAAGACATTGAACTCCTTAATTAAACTAAACAATGAACAGAGAGGTTCTCCAGATTCATATGCTTAGTCAGGAACTGACATGGCAATGGTATTATGCGTGCCAACATGGAAACCATGAGCATATTGTAAGAGGTTGACATTGGTTTGACATCAAGTGTTGGGGGGTGGGTAGCCAAATGAGGAGCATTACATGAACCATAATCATCAGCCTTACAATCAATGACAAGGATGTCATCAGGACTGGAAACCCTTGTTGGGCAGGCAGCCTTATGTAGGGTTGTGGCAGCGTGTATGCAAAGACATGTGCTTCCAGAAGAATCTTCGCGGGTAGTTCTTGTTATCAAGGGCTCTTTCACAACCTCCCAGCTTTGGGAAGGTTTGGCACAAGTGACTCCATTTTGATTCGGACAACTTTCATAATCTCAAGGAACACTTGTTTTTGTATTTGTTCCCCTGACTCCTGCTGTTGATGCCACCGTTAACACGAATGCTGGAGGGCCTGCCTCTGGGACTCCATGGCGCTGCCCTGTCACACAGTCTGAGGCGATGCCGTGACTTTAGACTATCCTTCCACTTCGCCTTAGGCATGTTTCTTCTTTAAAACCTTCTAGAACTTGCTCCCAGCTCTCCCTCCCCCTTGACCACAAGCACTGTGGTTTCTGAACTTGCCCGACACTTCAACTGTTGGTCTCAGCCTCCCGACTACGCTCCCCTCTCCCAGTCTTTACTTATCCATCACACTGTGGCCAGTCTTCTTGCCTCCTCAAGCACTTCAGATAAGTCAGACTCACCGCCTACACACATCCCCAGCCATCTCCATGTGCCAGCTGTCCCGGGCTATATGCACTTCTCTTGGTACCTCAGGTGCTTGTGTGCATCGGG